TAAGTGCTCTTGCTAATAGAATAGGAATAGACTGGGAAAGATGGAGGGCAAAAGAAGAAGGGGATGACAGAGAATCAGGTGGCTGGATGGAGTCACCAAAGCAGAAGGCGTAAGCTTAAATGGACTCCAGAGGATGGTAGGGGGCAGGAAGGCCTGGAGGAACGTTGTCCATGAGGTCACGATGGGTCAGGCATGACTTCACAACTAACAACAACAATGACTCCTAGATCCCTCTCAGTTACTGCTATTGAGCCAGGTACTTCCTATTCTATATCAATGCATTTGTTTTTTCTTGCCTAAGTGTAAAACCTTCCTTTTTCTCAACACCAAATCGCATTTTGTTGGATAGATACCCGTGTTCAAGTCCGTCAATATATTTTTTTTAGAGCTTAAACCTATCTAAATTATGTTGGCTCTTTCCTCCCCAGCTTGATATCTGCAAATTTGATAAATAACCCTTCTATTGCTTCATCTAAACCGTTTATGAAGTTGTTGAAGAGTCCTGGGACTGACAGAACCCTGGGGTACCCCATTGTCTACTCACAGAAATGGAAAAAAGAGCAACGGTCAGAACTCCTGCAGTATTTCTGCAAAGTCGAACAATCAACTGAAAAGAAATAGTGATTTCTCCTTATTCGGCTGCTAATTGGCTTTATGCAATAGCATCATTGCATAATCTTGATGTTGGTCTGTGCAGGCAAAGGTAACGTTATCTTGCCTTTCCTTTGTACCTCGCATATTATTTCCTCTCTTCTTGTCACCCAACCACTTCTGCTTTTATTACATTGCTCATATGACAGCGTGCTAAAACTGGCTAGCCAACAGACAGACGAAGATACAGCAGGCCGGGCTGCCATGTCTTTTATTGATATATTCTGCATTTTATCTATTTTATTATAAGACACTTCGAGTTTCATGTGTGAGATAAGCATCCCTATAAAACCAATTTATTTATTCATGCATTCCATTTGCATGTCTCCAACCTCTGCAAGGGACTCTGGGCAGTAAACAATCTGCCACTCGATTCCCATCATAAAATCCAAAAATAAAAATAAAAATACACAACGGCCAAGAGGATCGTTATCGTCTTCATCATTTCTTCTAATAAAGGATCTATTCTAATTCTATTCTATTGTTATGCTACAGATGGTCTTTGACTTACAATAGTTCACTTAGTGATAAATGGCACTGAAAAGAGTGACATGACCATTTTTCACACTTATGATCCCTGCAGCCGACCCTGGGTCACATGATTTATATATGGATGCTTGACAACTGATCCACATTTACGACCGTTGCAGTGTCCTGAGGTCATGGGATCCCCTTTTGCAACCACCTATCAAGCAAAGTCAATGGGGAAACCCTAGTTTCACTTAATAATGGTGTTACTGATTTAACAACTGCAGTGATTCACTTAACAAACATTGCAAGCAAGAAATGTCATGAAACAGGGCAAAATTACACTTAAACCTCTCACTTAGCAACATATATTTTGAGTGGCCCTAAGTTGAAGATTTCTATTGCTATTCTATTGCTAACGCTACTCTATTTCTATGATATTCTATTGTTTTTAAATCTATTGCTATGCTATTTCTAGTCTATTCCTGCTGCTGTTGTTGTTGTTGTTGTTGTTAATTGCGAAGTCGTGTCCGACCCATTACGACCCCATGGATGACATTCCTCCAGGCCTTCCTGTCCTCTACCATNTATTAAATTGGAACTTTAAGGATCGTTTTGCCTTGGACTCCGATTTAATTCTACACGATACTTGGAACGCTGACACCATATATCACTACAGGAAAATGGTTGTCTTAAAAGCCTCCAGTGATGGAGCACCCATAACTTCTAAAGGTAAGCTGTGCCACTGATTAATTGTTCTCGCTGATAGGAAATATCTCTTTAATTCTAGGTTGGTTCTCTCTTTGATAAGTTTCCATCTATGAGTGTTTGTCTTGCTCTCAGGTGGTTTGGAACATAGGTTTCCCTCCTCTTCTTTGTGATAAATCTCTCACATACAGGGTAGTCCTTGTCTTACCACAGTTCATTTAGTGACTGTTCAAACTTACAAACCGCACTGAAAAAAGTGACTTGGGACCATTTTTTCACACTTGTAGCATCCCCGTGATCATGTGATCAAAATTCAGAGGCTGGGCAATTGCTTCCTACTTATGACCATTGCGGTGTCCCAAAGTCATGTGCAAACGTTTGATGAGCAAAGTCAATGGGGAAGTCAGATGCTTTTAAAAAAACTGTCATCATCAATTGCAGGGATTCACTTAACAACTGTGTCAAGAAAGGTCATAAAATGTGGGGGGGGGGAATCACTTAACTGTCTCGCTTAGTAACAGAAATGTTGACCTCCTTTGTGATCGTAAATCGAGCACTACCTGTATTGGGAGACCACCATTGTTATGTTTTAGCTTCCAGTCCCCTAATCATCTTCTCTTTCTAGAGATTCAACATCTTTTGTGTCATAGTGACTGAAACTGAATGAAGTATTCCAAATGTGGCTTTACCAAAGCAGTGTAAAACAGTACTATAACACTTCACATGATCTCAATACTCTCTGTCTGTTGATGCAGCCTACGGCTTTTTTTGGCAACTGCAACACACTGCTGGCTCATATGTAAGTGGCTATCCACTAGGCAATACTAAAAAGCAGAGACATCACCCAACAAAAGTGTGTATAGTCAGGCTATGGTTTCCCCAGTTGCAATGTATGGCTGTGAAGGTTGGAGCATAAGAAAGGCTGAGCACCAAAGAACTGAGGCCTTTGAACTATGGTGGTAGAGAAGACTCCTGCGAGTCCCCTGGACTGCAAGGCAATCCAACCGGACAGTCCTAGAGGAGATCGACCCTGACTGCTCTTTAGAAGGCCAGATCCTGAA